CCAGCTCTCATCGGATCCACCCCCACAAAATCTTCCATCTGTGGAATTCCACTTCCTTCCCAGCCTCCTGCCTAAGGGCCTCCCAGCAGATAGAAGGTGGACCTAGTCAGAGGCGTGCATCCTGAGTTCTCTCACCAAAGAGCTCTGCAAAAGGGTCTCCACTTCCGAAGAACTCCTGGAAGACCTCCTCAGGGCTGCGGAAGGTGAAGGTGAAGCCGGGCCCACCAGCTTCAGCTTCTGCTTGAGATGGGCCAGTTCCTGGAGGACAGCAGGATGAGGAGGGGGCTTAACACAAGCATCTTGCCCAGAGCCAGGGGACCCCACCTATGGCATGGCCAGAAGCCTCAAGAGAGCATCTGCTGCAGGAATCTGCTCCCCCCCATCCTCTCTGACCCACTTCCATCCTGCATCCCCCACTCCACCTACCTGCCCCAGTCAGCCCTTCCCGGCCATAGCAGTCGTAGATCTCCCGCTTATGCTCTGGAAAGAGAGATGAGATAATTTCTCCCTCCCTCTAAGATGATGGTCCCCCTTTCCAGGCTAGGACCCTCAGAAGGGTGCCCAGAGAATGACACATGGGGGGCAGCAGGGTGCACAGGGCACATGGGCTATGAGTTTTAGCAGCAGCTCGGCCCTTCATACAGTGGCTCCTTCTCATCTGTAAAACGACACAACAGTACCTCGTAGGGTTTGTTGCAAGGATTCAAAGAGATGATCCACAGGAACTGCTTAACACAGTGCCTGATACATAGTACGTGTTCAGTGAATATTAGCTAATTATACTATGTTATCATTAACCAGGGCCTAGCCTAAACATCACCTCCCCAGAGAGGTCTACTGTGACCACCATAACATGCCCTTACTATGTCTCACATAACACTGCTACTTTCCTTTGAAATACTTGTCTGTGCATTTACGTGGTCAATGTCACTTCTCCCTGACCAGAATGTGATGAAGCCATGAGGGCGAGGACAGAGCCTGCTTGTCCTCCATCATTCCTCAGTGCCCTACAAGTGCCCAGCACCATAAGCACTCAATGAATATTTTTTGAATGAATGAATAAAAGACCTGGATTCACAGTCCACCTCTATGTGACCTTAAGTAAGTTATTTCATCTGTCTCAGCCTCAGTTTCCTCACCTGTAAAGTGGGGGAGATAAGTCTTGCCTTGCAGCATGGCTGTGAAGACTCATGGAGATTATACCCACCAATGCCTGGCACAGAGGAGGCTCGGCACGCATGGGTTACCTGCCCTGCTCCTTTCGCCATGCTGCAACTACCAGATCCTGGGGGCAGACACTGAGCACAGGGGATTAGGGGGAGAATAAAAGGTGCTTTGCATGTAGTAGGTCCTCATCTGAACTAAAGCAAAAAAATAAGAAAAAAGTCCCAGAGTCCCTGTGGGAGGAGGGCACTTCAATGCCAGGTTGGAAAAAGATGAGGAGTGGCAGAAGCACAGCTTTGGGAAGGAGTGCCATGGGGCACAAAGTGGAGACGATGGATGCTGCCCTGGTTGGGCCCTAGCCCTTACTGTCAGATAACACTTCATATGCCTCTGCCACTTCCTTGAACTTCCTTTCAGCAAACTCTTTATTATCGGGGTTCTTGTCTGGGTGCCACTGTAGAGCCTTCCGCCGATACCTGCAGAAGTGGGTTCAGAGAGGAGAGTCAGGGGACAGGGCAAGCACTTCCCACCAAGGAACAGAATGACCCCTTTTCTCATTAGCCCACCACTGTCCTTCTCCACTTAGTACTGGCTCACCCCAGCTGCGAGGGCTGCCTCTGCTGCCATGTTTGAACAGAGTCCCTGTCCCTCCCCTCTGCAGCCAGAGCTAGCACTGCTGGTACTAGCAGATGATAATGTGAGCATGAGAAAGCCCCAACTTAATCAATCACTCCCCGGGGTCCTCTGCAGCTGCAAAGCTTGGAGGTACATATGACTATGCAGGGTACCGGAGCACTGGTCCCTCCTGGTCACACTGCCTGGGCATCTTTAAACTGCATCCTGAGAAAGTCCACACCTAGGGACTGGGGGTTGGGGTAGGGGTTCCAGGGGAGGAGAAGGGAGGATCTACTGGAGGAGGACCCCCAGGGCAGCTCCCAGAAGAACTTCACACTAAGGACTTTCTCCTACTCTTCCAGGGATCTCCCTCCCTCCCTATAGGTGTCACACTCTGAGGGAGACCTCCAACCCTTTCTAAGGACCTGGTTCCCTCATCACTTTGCCTCTGAAGGGCCCCATGGTGGCGGGGTCAGAAGAGGGGTGAGACGCTTTCTGATGCGCAACGAGGCACTTACGCCTTCTTGATGTCATCAGCGGACGCACTTCGCGGAACATCTAGGATTTCGTAGTAGGATGCCATGGCAACTCGTCAGCAGTCAGCCCGGCCTCCTTGGGGCTGCAGGGGAGAAGGAGTCAGGCCCAAAGAACCAGAGGCCCCGCCCTGGGGCTGGAGACCCTCCAGAGCAGCGGGAGGCGCTCCCAGGAGGATGCGGAGCCCACTGGGCTCTGCTTGCAGCTGGTGACGAGGCTCCCTCGGCAGCCTTATCGGCCTCTGCAAGCCGGTGCCACGGACTATCTCGGTGCCCAGGCCCGGGAAGCCCTATCGCAGCCCCCTAACTCCGGCAGCCCAGCCCAGGCCCCCCAGCCTGACCCGCCCCCCGCCCGCACCTCCTCGGCCGGGAGTCCCTGGCCTCTGCGGCGCCCCGCCCCTGCCCCCCGCCGGGAACCGTCTGGCACCAGGTGCCCGGCTCGCGGCTGCTGCGTAGGACGCGCCCGGCCCAGCTGTGCACGCAAGCATGCGTCAGCGGCACGGAAACTACTAGAGACCCAGAGGAGGCCGGCTCGGCCTGTCACCCGGGGGTGGCGCGGGGTGGATTGCTACTGCAGAGGCTGCCGGGAGATGGGGGCGGAGCTGGCTATTTTGGGCTTGCACCAGGGCTACGTCACCCCGAGATGGGACCTGGGAGACCGCAGCCCCCTAGTCCAGGCATGACGCACTCACTAGCAAACAAGCCACCCGGCCCCTGGTTTCTCTGTCGCTTTCCTATACACAGGCTCTATGATCGGTGGTTACTCGCCCCAAAGGAAGTCACCACGCTGAGGACACACAGACCACCCCCCCTCTCTGGGCTTAAATCCTTCCCCTCAGATCCCATCTCCAGCCCCAGATCCTCCAAAGAGGATGCCCTGACTTCACTGAGTAGGTCAGGCCTGCCTCTCATAGTAACTCAGGGTGCCCTTCATCACACTTCTCAGCGCTATAAATTAATGCATATTTATTTGATTGGCATTCACTCCCCAGCTAGAATGTAAATTCCACAGGACAGAGATTGTATTTTTTCTCACTAAAGTATTAGGGCAGTAGTGGGGTTCAAAAATATCCATTAGAAGATTAAATAATGAACAAATATGAACCTCTTTCTGACAATTTGTACAGATTTGGGGAAAGTGGGGCTAAAGGGTAAAAGGAAAACAGAAAATGGAAAAGGAAATGACCCAGATTCAAGGTTTTTCTTCCCAAAGTGATCCTGAGTAGACTTCTTCCACCTCAAAATGATTCTGTTGTTCAGGTCTCATCGGAGGGTCAAAGAACTTTCTAGAATTGGCACTGGCTTGATATAATCCAGGCCAATCCATAAACATTGAGCATCTTCTACATAGTGGATGTAGATGTCAGGATGAAAAAAGAAGAATGTGGTGCAATCTCTGCCTTCACAGAGCTCCAACTTGATGAGAAACTAGCCCATCAATACAGCCCACTGGGAAACCTCAGGGCTGTGTAAGCAAACAGACCTGGGGTTGCAACCTGGTACTTCTGTGTGGCTTGGGAAAAACTCTGAGGATGCGATTTTTCCTAACTGAATACAGGTAACACTTACTGCTGTTTGAAAGTCAAATGAGGCATAGCACATCCTCTCAGGCATCATGATTTGCTCAAGCAATAATGGTTTTTGTGAGTCTGGAAGGCTGTGTTAGACTGGGTGACCCAGAAATGCTTCACCAAAGAGTAGGGCTTGAGTCAAATATGAGAGAAGAGAGTGGTGTATATTTGTTCAGTGTTCCTGGTGCTCCAGTCTGAGCCTTCTGCCTGTATCTGGGGAATTTCCTCCTCAGTGGGAGGCAGGCCACCACCTGCCACAAAGCCCTGACACTTGCTTTCCCAGATTTCTCAGCTCCAAGGTTGCAGGCAAAGACATATGCTCTGCCAGTTAGAAGCTCCAACTGGGACTTGAATCTGGAGCAAGTCACAGTGAGCCGGGACAGTTGAGAATTCATTTCACCTCTGCAATGGTGGTGAAGGAGCCAGCAGCAGCCTCTAGTATCTGGAGGAGGAAATGTCAGCTTTAGTGCCCGGGTGGAGGGGACAAGGGTCTTTTTGGCAGACTGTCTTGTGCCCTGACCTTGACTATGGTGCTGGCTGCCAGCTTCCTTTGATGCCTACCTGTTTGTAGAGTTTCGTTTGGCAGTTTGGCAGTCCTCCTATTGATTCTGTGTGCTACCCAACATCTCCAGTTTTGGGAGGAGGGGGTGAAGGGGTAAAGGGGCTGTTCTTTATATATATACATATATAATATATATATATATATATATATATGCTAGAGTTAGTGTGTGTGTGTGTGTATATATATATATATATATATATATATATATATATATATATGCTAGAGTTAGTTTCTGCTGTTTGTGAGAGCCCTGACTGCCTTGGTACAAAAGGAAGGAATAGCTTAGGAATAGCTTAGGTAGGTAACTCCAAAATCTTTCAAATCCTTTTCTTCTTACTTCTCCTATCTCAACAGACCTCTGTCTAGCACCTACCATGTATGTTACATTAAGAACAGGAATACAAAGAAGTCTGGGTTCCAGTCCCTGTACTCGAGGAAATGAAAATCTAGTTGGGATATAGACAGCTATGGGAAATTATATGGAACACATCTAACAAACAAAGGGTTAATTTCCTTTGCTCACAAAGAATTCTAGCCAATTAATAAGACAAGACAAACAATGCAAGTTTTTAATGGGCAAAGGGTACAGACAAGACAGTTTACACATGAGAAAATACTGGCTTTTACACATGAGATGTTCAATCTCATTCATAATAAGAGAACTATAAAGGAAAGCTGCAACAAAATTTTTTGTTTCACTTACAAATGACAAAGAGCAAGAAGTTGAATACACTGTATGGGCACAGGCATTCTCATACATTGGTAATGTGAGGATAATTTGGCATAACTTGTAAAGAGAACGACATGGGGCATATCAAAATTAAAAGTGCATAGCTTTTGACCCAGAAATTCCAATGCTAAGAATTTACAGTTGTGCATACATACAAAGAAGTATGAACAAAGGTTGCAGCATTTTTTTTCACAGCAAAGGATTGGAAACAATCTAAATACCCATTAATAGCAGACTGATTAAATAAGCAATGATACATTATACAATGGACTACTATATTATCACCAAAAAGAATGACTTGAACCATCTTCTAGATTTATTGTGAAATGAAAAAACAAGGTGTAGAACAAAGTATATCAAAGTGTGTATACACACATGCCTCTGGAAGAAAACACTAACCCAAAAGTCAGCAGTGGAGGCTGCCAAGAGGGGAAAAATGGAGACTAATTTTCACTGCATAGATTTATTTTTGCTGTTTGTAAACCTCTTTGGTAATTTATGTAATACTTAATTTTAAATAATCTAGTTGTAGAAATAGGATATTGGCAAGAAGCTAAGTGCTGCCATACAAGGCAGTCGATACCAGGTGCCAAATGAGTGATAGGGACAGACAGTAGGTGTTGGGAGAATCTAGAGAAGGGGGGGCTCCCCAGGGCTGATAGGTTCTGGGTGGCTGTGACCTAAACTGGAAGGAATGGCAACACTGAGACAAGCAGGGGGAGGTTGGCATTCCAAAGGAGGAAACGGTGAGAACGCAGCTTTGGAGGCAGGCATGTTCCTAACACATCAGAGGCAAGGGAATAAATGTGTTGGGTGGAATTCAAGTTTGAGAATCTATTTCTTGTGGAAGACACTGCACTCTGGCTTTACAAGCGTTAAGGATGCAAGGATTCCCCTAGATTGAGGGAGCCCCCAGGAGCCGGGCTGGGTGACACCCCAGCTGCCCCTCGCCTCACAATCCCTGCTCAGTCCGATCTCCGTCTGCTGGTCCTCACCAGCAGCATCACTAGCTGGGAGGCCCTGCGGGGTCTGTGAGCAGATAGTCATACAGCTGCCCAGGGTGGGCTGGCTGGTACAGCAAATGGGAGGGGAAGCTGGCCACCTCTCCAGATGCCCAGCTCTCCTGGGAGGTGAAGACCTCGCCTCCCTCTCTGGTCCTCCCTCCTGGCCTCTCTCAAGCCATACCTCATTTCCTATGAGATGTCGTGGGGCCTTTCTCCAGAGGGCACTGACAGCCCCAAAGATGCCTCTGCCCTTGTTCAGCCCCAGAAGCTGGTTCCCTCCCATCCTGGGTCCCTCCCACCCACGCCATGTCCTTCACCACAGCTCCTGGGCAGGGGACTATCAAGCGTCACCTCCTCCCTGCCTTTGAGGCACCTGAGTCACTGTCTGGGCACTGGGGACCTGGCAGGCCCAGAAGAGGTGGCGTCTGGAGGGATGCCTGGAACTGCTTCAGGCAGGAAGGGAGGGCATCTGAGCAAGTGGAGGGCAGCAGCACAGGCTTTGACCAGGGCCAACCTGGATTTGAATCCTGACTCCTCCATTTTGTAGCTGAGTGATCTTGGGCAAGTCACAGAACTTCTCTGAGCCTCAGTCTCCACATCTATAAAATAGGCATTCATTTAACAAATCTATTCAACAAATATTGGGTGTCTAATTATGTCAGGCAACATTCTGGGTGTGAAGGATAGAACAGTCCTCCTTTCCATGAAGCTTCCAGTCCACCAGGTGTAACTGTATTTACTTCCAGATTAAATAAGACAATATGGATACAGGGCCTGGGACATAGGAGGTGCTCAATAAGTGACTGCAACTTCTTGGGGTTTGACGGGCACCCCAGGTATCCCCTCTTCTCTTTCCATGTTTGAAACCAGTTGAGAGAAAGACACAGGAGTCAAATAGAGATTTGAAAGTCAGCCCTTTTAGTAGAGAAAAGTACATGGCCATGTACTTGCCATGACAGGGATCACACTTCACCATCTGGTTGGCAGGCTCGAAGCAGGCATTGGTGATCTCTGCCACTGACAGCTGCTCGTGGTAGGCCTTCTCTGCAGAGATGACTGGTGCATACGTGGCCAGGGGGAAGTGGATGCGAGGGTAGGGCACCAGGTTGGTTTGGAACTCTGTCAGGTCCACATTGAGGGCCCCGTCGAAGCACAGGGAAGCCATGATGGAGGAGACGATTTGGCTGATGAGGCAGTTGAGGTTGGTGTAGGTTGGGCGCTCGATGTTCAGGTTGCGGCGGCAGATATCATAGATGGCTTCATTGTCCACCATGAAGGCACAGTCTGAGTGCTCCAGGGTGGTGTGGGTGGTCAGGATGGAGTTGTAGGGCTCGACCACGGCTGTGGACACCTGGGGGGCTGGGTAGATGGAGAACTCCAGCTTGGATTTCTTGCCGTAGTCAACGGAGAGCCGCTCCATGAGGAGCGAGGTGAAGCCAGAGCCTGTGCCCCCTCCAAAGCTGGGAAAGATGAGGAATCCTTGGAGTCCTGTGCACTGGTCAGCCTGGAAAGTGAAGGTGAAGATTGCCATGGGATTTGAAGCACAGGCGACAAACAGGAAAGAACTAGCTTGTGCTGTTTCAAATTCGCCAAAAGTTTTACAAAATCTGTAGAAGACTTTTCCTAGAGCACAAAACAGATCCTCATAGGAAGGCCTGACTCTCCTCCTTGTCCTTCTTCCTCTCTAAAACCTCCTGAGGTCCCTAACAGCTCTCTTGGATGTTGTGACATAGTTATTTTTGTCATCATAACTTGTCAACTCCACTCAGCTTCATGCCCATATACCCCTGGTTTAACTTTATATGTTTCCGGAGGGCTTCTCTACTGAGATCAACAGCCCAGGAACCTGATCCCTGTCCCTCCCTGGTAGAGGCCAAAGTCAATCGTAGAACCGTGGGCCAGCATTATTTGGATCCCTGTTTCTCACAGAGCTTCTGCCCACAGCCCTACAGTACAAGGTGATATTCTAGAAATACCTGAATGCCTGGGACCCCTGAAGCTTGGCCAGGGAGCCTGTGACATGTTTGCCAGAGTGGCCACTCTGCCCAGCCTTGGTCCAGTTGTTATGGGAGGTAAAGAGAGTACTCAGCTGCAGGCTGGAGCCTACAGTCTGCCTCCCCTGATCAGAGTGCAGGACCTCTCCTCACTAGTTCTGATTCTGCATGTTTAAGACTTGTCTAGGAGGCTCTCCCCAGAGCAAAAGCTGTCCTTCCCTTATCTGGTGTCCTAACCACTCCAGAACAAGAATCCAGATTTCCCCTTCCCCAGCCCTCAACTCTCCTTTCACCAGCTTCCGAATCCGGTCCATCACCAGGTCGAAGAGCTCCTTTCCGATGGTGTAGTGGCCTCCAGCGTAGTTATTGGCAGCATCTTCCTTGCCGGTGATAAGTTGCTCTGGATGGAAGAGCTGGTGGTATGTGCCCATCCAAACCTCATCTGCAATGGGCAGAGTTTTAGGCCCCTTCTTCCCTTGCAGCCTGGCTCCTGGAGCCCTGGGGTACCCAGAAGGGGTGGGGTTTTCAGGCCCCAAGTCCTACCCTAGAGAATCCCCAGTCAGGCTGGTGCTAGTGCCCTCTACTTTAAGGGTTTGTCAAAAAAAGGGAAGGGTTGTGGGGTGACCTTGAAACTCTGGAGATCAGTGACAGCAGATCTGGAGCTCTGATTGGCTGCAGCACCTGGGAACCACAAACTCCAGTGCTCTCCAGTGATGGAGAAGGACCTGCTGTGAAGTCCCAGGACAAGGTGGCATATGCGGCAGGGCTGGTCATCACTCACCAATCACAGTGGGCTCCAGATCCACAAATACTGCCCGGGGCACATATTTTCCAGCCCCAGTTTCACTAAAGAAGGTGTTGAAGGAGTCATCCCCTCCCCCGATGGTCTTGTCGCTGGGCATCTGCCCATCTGGTTGGATTCCATGTTCCAAGCAATAGAGCTCCCAGCAGGCATTGCCAATCTGCACACCAGCCTGCCCCACGTGGACTGAGATGCATTCACGCTGAGCAAAGGGCAGAGAACACCCTTAGCAGAGAGAAGTGTGTCATGCCAGGATATGGTTCCTGCTTGCCTGCCTGCCTTAAGTGGTTCTGCAGCTGAGGGCAAAGGTACTGAGACTCTGCTCTCCTTGCCCCACCTCCTGTGTCTAAGCATTTATTGGTGGCACTGAGGACCAACAGGCGTTAGTTCCAGGGGCTGGGCCCAAATGCTCAGGGGAAGCAGAAGGTGGGGCAGTTCTAAGATTACAGAGTCTTGCTCAGGGACTGTGCTTGAGTAGCATCATAGGATCAGATGAGTCGGCCAGCACACAATCATCAATTCATCCATTCTCAGAAAGAAATTAGGGGTCATTGGTGAGAGAAGCAAAATCCAAATGAAGTTTCAGGGGTCAGAGACAAGGAAGAGGTTTGGAAAGAGAAAGAACTCCGGCTTTGTGTTACAGCTCGAAATGCCAGTGAGGAAGGGGAAAGTGGCCTGGAGTGCATGAACACATGGACGTGTGAGCCTTCCTCTCCTGGGTGTGCATAATTCTGGAGTGAGGTGGGTTTGGGAAGAAAGGTCTTCTCATGCTTCATGGCTGGTGGTCAAATAACTCTTGGTCCCTGAAGCAGGACTGGGATATCCTGCTCGGTTCTAGAAAAGAGAAACATCAGCACCCTTCCTCAGGAACCCCATGAGAATCCAGATGGCTTGACCCTCTTGCTGTGTTCCTGACACTGCTGACCCTGGGGATTCATGACATCTAACACAGTCCCTGCCTTCAAGAAGCTCACTGTCTAGGGAAGGGAGCGTTTCACATGTTGACAGATATGTGACAGTGTGGTTAAGTGGGATACCAGATATGTACCTTTTCTGCTGGAGAAGTAATTACTGCAGAACTTAGAACAAAATGAACCTCCAATTTGCGGCAACATGGATGGAGCTAGAGGGTATCGTGTTCAGTGAAATAAGCCAGGTGGAGAAAGACAAGTACCAAATGATTTCACTTATTTGTGGAGTATAACAACAAAAGCAAAACTGAAGGAACAAAATAGCAGTGCACTCTCAGACACTGAGGAGGAACTAGCGGTTACCAAAGGGGAGGGGTTGCAGAGGGTGGGTGGGTAGGGAGAAGGGAATTAAGGGGCATTATAATTCACAATCACAATATAGATAGGTCACGGGGAAAGCAGTACAGCATGGAGAAGACAAGTAATGACTATAACATCTTTTTTTTTTTTTTTTTAGGAGAGCAAGCTACAGGTTTTTATTTAGAGATAAAGTGGAAGGACAGAGCTCCCAGCTCATGCCAGGAGGGGGGGGACAAGAGAGTCCCGACTCTATAACATCTTGCTACACTGATAGACAGTGATCGTAATAGAGGGACTGAGGACTTGATAAATGTAGGTGAATGTTGAAACCACTATGTTGTTTATATGAAACCATTGCAAGATTGTATATCAATGATACTTTAATAAATTGAAAAAAATAAAATAAAATGAGCACATCTATCAGATTTCTCCAAGCATTAAGACTTAGCCATAGGAGGACGTGGAGAAATGTGAACTCTTACACTGCTGGTAGAAGCCTAAGGCACTGTGTCTCTTTTGGAAAGTAATTTGGCAATATCTAGGAAAGCTGAAGATGTCTTGCTCTAGGGAAAACTCACACAGGTAAAGAAAGAAATGGGTGCAGGACCTGGCACAGCACTATAGCAACAGAAGCCAGTTAAATGTCCTTCATAGGAGAAAATGGATAAACAATGATTTGGATCTGGAAATGGATGGACTACAAGAAAGAATCTTAACAACAACAACAAAATTCTTGCCAGAAAAAAAAATTAAGAAGAATCAAACACTAGGATTCCATTTATATAAATCTTGTAAAACAATACTACGCATCATTTACAGATATGTATATGTATTTGCTTTATATTCTTGTGTGTGTATTGCAAAAATAAAGAAAGCAATGGAAAATATTAACACCCAACTGGAATGGAATTGTGGTTCTCTCTGGTAGAGGAGGGGGATATATGCAATTGGAGAGAGATTCTGTTTCTTAAGGTGAGTAGCAGGTGTTCATTTTATTATTCTTTATACCTTTTTGCATGTCTGAAATAATTCATAACCTTTTAATGATGATGTTTTATTCATAAATTAATACTTCACTGACTTTTTTTAATATGGCACAAGGGCCTTGACTCCTTAAGAGTTTTAGGTGACTGGGATTAATCCATAAGTCATCTGTATTCCAGCACCATTACTTCTTTGCTTGAGCAAGAGTCTTAACTTTCCTGTGGGTGTCCTCCCCTGTGAAATGGGGGGATAAGAGTCCCCTTCTAGAATTACTGTGGGCATTAAATGAAAGAAGTTGCCTGGCTCATTGCATGACACATACTAAGGTGCCCCATACATGTTGTGTCTGCTTGCCAATTCCCCATCCCCCAACCCCTGGTGTCATGGTAAGAGAAGGTAATGAATTAAGCTGGGAGGGATTTAGGGACACAAGGACTCCAGAAACCCCCAGCTACCAGAGGGAGGGCTGATAAGTCACCTGCGGGCTGCTGCGCCTCCAAGCCTGCCCAGGGTTTGTCTACAAAGCCAGACACCATCCTGGTCCACACAACTGCACTGCCCCAAACAAGGTGTCTCTGATCTTTGGGGCATGCCTGAGATACTGGAAACCACACCCCTTACTGTGGGGCAGCAGGTTTGGAGCAAACAACTCATCTCCTAGAATTACACAGACCTGGCCTCAAATTCCTATCCCTCTATGACCTCAGAGAAGTTACTCACTTCAACTGCTCTAGCTCCTTTTTCTCGACTGCAAAAACAGAACGATCTTATACTTGGTAGGCTTTGTCATAATGTTGTTTAGTTTTCATATATGAAGCATTAACTAGGGGCCAGGCACTGTGCTAAGTACTTCAAATACAGTGTCTCATTTAATCTTCACAAAAATCCCCTTAGATACTTTTATTGCCCAGTTTTACAGATGAAGAAACAACTGACGGTTGTGGAGGTTCAACAACTAACTCAAGGTCATAAGCAAAACCAGAAATATTCAGAAGAGGGACAGCCTGGCTCCAGCCATGCTCTTAACCGCTCTCCTATCCTGCCTGGTGAGGAGACAGGTTAAAGATACTGAAAAGCCCCTCTCCTTCCTCCTCTTCCCCTCTCCCCATTCTTATGTAACTGAAATGGGGGTTCAGACAAAGGCACAGCTTATGGGCAGGGCCATGCAGATGTGTTGCCAGGGCTGGGAAGTGGGACCAGAGGCCAATAGCGGATGTGCTGCAGGAGCCAGAGTTTGTAGGAAAGTGCCTGCACTTTCTGCTCCAGGCCTGCTTACCCACATTCTCCACCCCTAAATCCAGAGATCCTCAGCAGCCCTGCTCAGGAGCTGAGGCCCAGCCCCTAGCCCTGTCCTTCTCCACCCCCTGCACCTGACCGCACGTACCAGCCCACCTGGGGAGCAGCACTTACATCTGGAAGTCTCTTTCCCTCTCCCCCACCTCACCTGCCCATATACTGTATCCCCATGAACCTCTGGATATCCAAGGGTCTCTCACACCAGCCACCTGGACCCGCTGGGACCCTCACATGCATGTTCAGCTCCCCACCCTGCTCACCATGCTACCTGGCTGAGGCTTTCTGTTTGCTGCTCAGGGTGCGAGGCAGGGATGGGTCTGGGAGAGACCCCCCCATTCTCTGGTCGGCTCTCAGTGGGGGAATGTTGTTAGAAACAGCCCTAGGAGGGCAGGCCTGTTGACTTCCTTACCAAGCAGAAGGCCTGGGCCCAAACAGGGGAGTGTGGTGGAGTAGTTAGAGGAAGGGCCTGGCTGGTAAACCCACACACGTACCCAGGCCCCTGGGTACATGGTGCCTGTTGCTCAGTCACACAATGCCATTTCCTGGTGGTATACCTGGGCTTTTACAGGTGGGAGAGGATTTAGAAATAAACCCCCCTGAGCTCCAGCATGCTCCCCACCCCCAGGGTTGCTGAGGACTAGGGTGGAGTGGAGGGGGCAGAGGGGGTGCTGCAGAGTCTGCAGTGAGCCAGCGATCATGAGTCCCTAGGGCAAGAGGTCCAGGCCCAGGGCCTTCTGGGTGGGAACTCAGAGTATTCTAGAACACAGGGCACTAGAGTTCCATTTTAGCCCCATCTCTAGCACTTAAGTTTCTTTGGCCTGGGTTTTCTTGTTTGTAGAATGGGGCGAGGTATAATTACTAGATTAAACAAGATAAACTTTCTTGAGGGCTTAGTTCAGAATTGCTGGTGTTCTCCGGAAAGGGGGTTGATAGTTCTCATATATGAAGGGGCCCGGGACTATTTTTGTCTCTCCCTATTCTGTCACAAGTCATTGATGGTTTATAAGGCCTTATTTCTCTACAGGAGTCTCCCTGTGGCCTCAGGCAAAATTATGAAATAAAAATAAAATGTTAACCCTCACATTTGTATCCTGCTGTGTGGCACTTTAGGCAGCTTCATCCCTTATCTCCCTTGAGTCCCTCAACAACTTTGTGGTGCAGGCTAGGCAGGGCCTCCATTTCCATGATGAGAAAAGGAAATTGAAGCCTCTTACATTTTGCCCAAGGTCACATGGGGGTTAATTAGTGGTGGAATTAAGATTCTTTTGGGACTCAGGCTCAGGTGTCTCCCCTTTCTATATGGCAGAGATTTCCCTGTCCCTCGTTCCCCTCCTGTGTCTTTATTTTCTTCTTTTCCCCCTTAAATTCCATAGCCAGTCATGGTCACTCTCTGGCATATCCCTCAACTCCCTTGCCTCTCTCTAGCTGCAGCATCTTCATTTGACTAAATCATAACCCTGTTTAATCCATTTCTTCACCAACTCTCTGACTGCAGTGACCCAACTAAACAGTGGCTATAGAAAAACCCAGAACCACACTGACTGATCTGAGGTTAGATGCATGACCACTAACCTCAAATGGACCCTAATGCTGCCTGGAAACCACATTACAACTCTCCAGTTACTTTTCCAGATAGCAAC